AGACAAAAGCTCCCGCACAATGGACAGGATGAGCTGCAGGTCCCCTGGGCAGAGAGGCTGTCAGCTGCCTACCCGCTCACCTCCAGTGCAGCAAGCTGGGCTGGCCATCCTCTGCCCCAGAAGCCACAGCCCCACATGGCCCATGTACCCCCATGACAGCAGAAGGTCTGCAAGGTAACAGCTCCTCAAGCCATAGCCCATTTCAGGGCTGCAGGGGCACTGTCCCCAGGAGCCTGGCCTCATGGGAAGCTGTCTCAACTGTACCCGGCCAAGCCCCGGTTCAGGATTCACAGAGCAAGCTGGTAATGAGCAGATGACCCAACCTCCAGCCTTGGGAAGCTCGGATAAGACACCTTCTATCCTCCTCACCCACTTTTTGGCAGGGGAAGGACCAGACCCAGTCTTCTGGGCATAGTCTGCAGGGAGGCTGACAAGGTGTATGCTATGTCATAGATTAGAGGTCAAGGGTCAAAAGTCTGAACATGGTACTGGGGCCAAGAGGGCTGGAGTGGGCCATGGGCTTACCTGCTTCCAGCAGTAAAGTCCTGCAGACATGAGGAGGGGCTCTGGGAGGACAGGTGGGCAGCTGCCCCCACATCAAGGACCTCAAGGGCTTAGAAAAAACTTCCCACTTCTTCCCTGTGCTGTCCGAAGTCTCACAGCTCCAGTTCTGAGGGATTTGCCAGGCCCTTCTGAACTCATTTCGTTTCAATTGGGCAAGTTCCAAAAGTACACTTTGGCCTGTGGAAAGAAACTACTTCCTTTTATGACCCATCAAAAGATCCCTTCCTGTTTCTAAGGGAAGCCCCCAAATTCTGGCTGGGAAACAAAGCTCTGTTTACCCCATAACCTGTCCTGCTGTGCTGCCTTCAGCCCTATACCTCCAAGGCATGTACGATTTTTGCCACAGCCCCAGAGGGCAGACCCCCTTCTCTTGAGCTGACCCCCTGAGAACCCCCCAGTGGGGCTAAGACCCAACAGCCGGGGCACCTATGCGGGCCCTGCCAAGGCCACAGTGGCCCTAAACCCTCACATGTGAGGTCACACCTCTAGCAGCAGCCTCAGCAGGAGGCACATGCACCTCCCAGGGTCACTCCTGGGGACCCACCTGGAACCTCAGAGTCGGGACAGAGATTATCTTAAGCTGCAGACACTTGAAATTCAACAGATACAGAAAGAAACCTTCTCAGAGATCCTCTTACTGACTAACAGCAGGAACTTCAAGGAAATAAGGCCACAGAAATCCCCTCAGGGGAGTTTCCTGCCATAAAAATGTCTGACCCTTGGAGCTTACATAATCAAACATCACCACAAACTTCCTCATCTCTGTCTGTGCTCCTCAAAGCCTATCTGTCTAGCCTAAAGAAACTTACCTGTCCTTCTCATCCTTCTCTGTCCTCTTCTCCTCTCCCCTTCTCTCCATCCTCAGTGAGGAATTAAGCTCCCAGTTTCAACCACCCCTCTGAGTCACTCCCTGAGCACTCCCATTCCAGGACGCTCTGGTAAATAAAGTCTCTTGCCAGTCTGTCTTTTGTCAGTTTAATTCACAAGCTCTCCAGGACCGAACATAAAAAGGCAAACTTTTTTCCTCCCTGACACCTGGGTCAGCAGCCAAAGACAGCTCCATCCAGCATGAGGCCACCGTTAGAGGGTGAGCTCAGAGTAGACAGGGCAGCTTCCCGATCCCAGCCCTGTGGCTGACCACATCGGAGACTAGCAAGGGACAGCCAGTCCTCCACACCCCAGTTTCTACTTGAGGACATGGAGGACACTCAGGCCCCTCCTAAGGTTATGGGGAGACCTAAGTAACTGGGGTCAAGCTTAACAACCCTGGCTCCTAGGGGACCCTTGAAAATGGTTCTAATGATACAACAGGGATGCCATGTGCAATTGCCCATGGAAACCCTGGTATCCTTTTCCTATATCCACAGGTGCCAGCCACCTGTTTCTCTCAGACATCATTCACTGCCACATTTACCAACCACCCAGCAGAGTTCAGATACAGTGCTGGGTTTCAGAATGGATCAGACAAAGTCCCTCCACTCGAGGGACTTACATTCAGAGACTCAAGTAAAGTGCAACCCATTCACATATACACAAAGACAAATAATATCATTAATAGTAATAAGACAGTATTACGAGAGTACTTACTATGTGTCAGGCACATGCTAAATACTGTACATATCATTAGCCATCACAATGAACTAAAAAACAGTTGCCATTGTGAAAAAGTAGGGGTGCTGAAGTGTTAAACATTGTAGCAGAGGGCCGGGGATTTAGCTCAGTGGTTTCACTAGCGCAAGGACCCGAGTTCGATCGCTGGTACCAAAAAAACAAAAACATTGTAGCAGACACAAATTGGGGTGCCTGACCAAGTCTGTGTCTCATCCCTCTCTACCTTTGGAAAACTACCTGGCTCTTCTCTACCGTATAGTGATTGGGCCAAAGGGTGATCATGTGACCCAGGCTAGGCCAAGCAGAGTTCTTCCTGGGAATTTTTGCCTGGGAACTATAGGGGAAACCTGCTGTGTCTCTGGCCGTGGATGTAGGCTGATAGGAGGCGACCTTGTGTTTCTGGTGGCCAGACTCTGTCTTGTAGAGAAGTCTGTCAGAGAGAATGTGGATGTCACTGAGGGAAAGGGGCCCTAAAAACCGAACCCATCCAAGACTCTTAGTTCCACTCTTACAACCAGCTCCAACTGCTCCCTACTGCAGTTTGACCCAGCAGCTCACAAATTACCTTAATGTACATAGAGCTGGTTTTTCATCACTTGCAACTTACAGAATCTTAGGCAAAGATGGTCCCCTTGCCCGAGTCCCAAGGCTATTTAAGGGCTGCCATCCCAGCAGTCACTTGCATGAGCTTCGGCCAGATTATGGACCCCAGGCAACACCAGCAGCATCCTGCTGTTTTATTCTCTACAGATGTTTGAGAGGGTGGCTATGGGCTGATGATCTCAACTGCTCAGTTCCCAGAAAGAAAGGCACGGCCACTCACAACCACTCCATTCAAGTCACATCATTGCCATCAACAACAAATTCTTCAGTGCTTCTGCTACATGACGACCTTGCTATGCCCTGTGTGCCTCATCCAACCCTCCCTAAAACCCTCCACAGGAAGGACTATTGCTGTTTTAAAAGTGCAAATGGAAGCCAGGTATGCCAGGTATGCACCTGGTACACCCACCTGTAATCCCAGCATTTGGAAGGCTGGATCGGGAGGATTAATGTGAGTTTGAGGCCAGCCTGAGCTACACAGTGAAATCCTGCCTCAAAAAACCAAAATAGATAGACAGACAGACATAAAAATAAAAGTTCAGGTGGAGGGGCTGAGGGTGTGACACAGTGACAGAGCAAGTGCCTATCTTACACAAGGTTCTGGTTCAATCTGCAGCACCTAAAAGCAGTTTTTAAACAAAATTTTTGATTAAATAAATAAAAGCACAGAAGGGGGCTCTCAAGAGGGTTAGCAACACCCCCCTCACACAAAGCCACAAGGGCAGTGTCAGAGCTGGCACTCTCAGCTGATTCTCTAATAGTCCCCTCAGCACAGTATCACAAACAGTTCCATGCCAATTAGAATCTCTGAACACTGCCCACGCTAGACTAGGTTAACTCTGTTGCAAACTGGGCCCACATAGAGTCACCTTTTGGTCTGTATGAGAAAATGGTCAGCCACCTTCCTCACTCTCTTCAAACAGGTCTGAGGATCCTAATCTTAAAGCAAAAAACCCTCAACCTTAAGGCCACCAGGCCAGTGTGGGGCTGGAGCCTTTGGCTTTGTGTATGCACACTTACACACACATGTATGTCTTCTTTTTCAACTCTCAGGTTCCAGAGGACTGTTTATCATGAGCCTCATGATAAAGCCTCATGATTTATCACCTGGTCACCCTGCCTGTATCCTCGAAGGTGAAGGACACTTGCCCAGCCACCTCTTGCTGATGTGGCACTGGCCCTTGCACTCCACTGCTTACCTCCTTCCTGTGTGAACTCCAGTGTCCCCGCTGAGCAGGGTCTGATCCCACAACTCACCAGGCATGGGAGGACCTGGGGTACCACCCACCCTCCCCACATTGGGCCTCAGTCCTCACTATTTCCACCTTCATTCTCACATCACCAGACTGGTCCCATCTTTCCTGGCCCCGTAGCAGCAGGCACCAGGACGAAGGTATCCTGCAGTCGCAGCAGAAAAGGCCCAGGTGCCACCTCTAGTGATTTCTCCATTTTTTCCTCCCTAGTCTCTGCCCCTTTAGCTCCAAGGTGCCAAATGTGGCCTGCAGGTGTGTTTTTGTTTAGCATTCCCAGCAGTTTTTTTTTAAACATTTACAAGTTGGAATTTTCACTTAGATATCCGGATTTAAATTTTCCATAATATTTGTTTTGTACCAGGGTTCGAACTCAGGACCTTGCGCTTGCAAGGCAGGTGCAGCACCACTGAGCTAAATCCCCGGCTCATAATATTGTTTTAAAACCCACCTTTAAAGAGGAACATTTCTGATTTTTTTCTTGCAAAAAAAAATGGCCTTTCTATGACAAGAACCCTGCACCTCTGCCGGACAGCAGCATGGGCCTGGCCACAGTTCAGAATCCACCCTGTCCCTCAAGTCTCTGTGAACACCCAAGGCCCACACCAAGGTTCTGGGGACCCCCTCAGAGATGGTAGGCTCCCCAGCTGTCTCCCAGCTGGAGTTGGGCATTTTTCTGCTGGGATGAATCTCAAGGACATCCCTTCAACACCAAGGCAAGTGAGGCTCCAGACTGTGAGTCAGGCTTTGAGTGTTTCCAAGCCACTGTCCCCAGGCTCCCACTGATGGCCTTGGGGGCACAGTCTGGGCTGGCTATCAGGCCAGCTTGAGCCTACTGGACCTTGGCACACTGCTGCCAAGACTATGCATAGGAGCAAGCAGTGACTCCCTGTGTACCCTCTGGGAAGCACCGGCCTGAGCAGTCAACACCAGTGGCCCGCCCGGCCCCGTCCCTGGGCACCAGACACTCACGATGTTCATGAGGGTGAGCAAATAGTTCTGCACATGCTCCCTGCCGTGGAAGCGAACCACCGAGTCATCCACCGCCAGCAGCACCTCGATGCTGTAGCTGCTAGGCTTGGCATGGCGCCGCTTCCGCTCTGTGTCGCCCAGCTGGTCCCCCACCAGGCCCAGGAGGTTGGGAAGGTCACCCAGGCCGAAGGCTGGAACAAGACGGACAGAGAGTGAAACTGTGACACTTGCAGCACTGGCTTCTAATGACACTCATTTATCCACAGTTATTGGAGGCCCCTAGACTGTGGGTCAGGGGCTGGGGACATAAAGATGTCACTACTACACCTCCAGCCTGCATCAGGAGGTGGCTGCAGGAGGCCCCGTGCTTAGCAGGTGCATGGTGGGTGGGTGACAAAGGGGTTCCACTCTCAAGTCCACTGGCTAGTGGAGGTGACAGGTACGAAATCAGATGGTAGCAGCATCTGTAAGTTGAGGATCCCTCATCTGAAACCCTTGGGACTAGAGGTTTTCAGATTTGGGGATATTTGCACAGACTTTGCCAGTTCAGCATCTCGAATCCAAAAATCTGAAATGAGAAATGTTCCGAAATATGACATACTTTGAGTGCAACAGCTCCTGACTGCCCAACTGTCTAACGGCGAATCAGCAGCTCATTAAAATCGGGAGAGAAAGAAAGAGGGGCCCAAGAGGGAAAGAGAAGGGGCAAGGGTGCCCTCCATGGAGTGGGGAAAATAAATGTCACCCCAACATGTAAGCAGTGCCTGGAAATTTAAATGCTACAGGTAGAATACGGAGCCTTCCCTGCCAGGTCTGCCAGATGAGGCTCAGAGAGGTTACGTGACTCACCCCAGGTCACACAAGCAAGTTAACGGTAAGAACCCAGACTGTAAACCCAGGTATCCTCCTCCTCTGTTAGGCCACATCAGGAACCCCCCGATTAGCCTCTCCGCAGACAGGCGGGGAATGTAGGACAAGTGGAGCTGACATCAGCCACAGGTTCTGGGGGTGTCCCAGCTGACTGGCTTCTTTGTGTCTTTTAGGCTGGGAGCAGATTTCCCTCTAGACCAGATATGGCAAGGGTACGGGGGCCCCAGGCAGCACTGGGAGGCTTAGATGAGCCCACCCAAGGACCCCACAGGAATGTAAAATGATGCAGCTGCTTTGCAAAAATAGTTGGCAGCCCCCCAAGAACTTAAACCTAGGGTTACCATGTGAGCCACGAAGTCCACCCCTAGGTACCCACCCAAGAGGCCCAGAAGCCTATGGTCACATAAAAACTTGCACACAGATGCTCAGAGCTGCATTACCTTAACAGCCAGACCAGGAAACCCCAAATGTGCACGGACAGATGAGTGGGTAAATAAAAGACAGTACATTCACACCATGGAATATTACTCTGCCATAAAAATGAGTGGCTCCATACACAGACGAACCTTGAAAATACACTGAATAAAAGAATCTAGTCATAAAAGGCCACATATTACACATTTATAGGAAATGTCCTGAATAGGAGATCCTTAGATAGAAAGTTGACAGATGACAACCAAGGAGCTGGGGAGGGGGAGACAGAAGTGACAACCAATGGACATGGGGATTTTTGTGGGAATAACAGAAATGTTTTGTTTTATTGCAAGACAAGTTCTTGTTAATTCCCAGGCTGGCCTCACACTTGTGATCCTGCCTTAGCCTCCTAAAGGCTGGGATTACAGGAATCTGCCACTGCACTCAACAGGCAATGGAAATGTTCTGGGATTAGACCGGGGTGATGGGGAATATAGCAAGAAACCATTGCATTGTCTACTTAAGCATGGTTGGTTAAAATGGTAAAATTTTATCTTTTTTTTAAAAAAAGCAACAGCAGCAGCCCTGGCCACAGACGCAGATGCCTTGACCACATCCGGCTGCCATCTTAGGAGCAACCGGGAGGGAGAAAGGCTACGGAGAACAGCCTGGGTGGGAGGAGAGGGCAGTGTCGGGGCAGGGGTGTCCAGAGAGCAGCTAGAAAGAAGGCCAGGGTGGCCCACAGGGGAGTCGCTGAGGGCCTAGGAAGCCCAGCTACAGGAGTTTACCTCGAAACTCTGAGCGGTTTCATTTCCCACCATGCCCTTGAGGACAGAATTGCTTAAGTCCCCTATGCGCCCCTCAGAGACACGTGTATGCGTGAGAGTGTGCGTGTATGGTCTGGTCTGCTGTGTGTATAGAGTATGTGAGAGTGTGACATGTGTGGGTGTGTGGGCAGGCATGTTATATGGGTGTGAGTGTGCAGAGTATGGGAGTGTGTGCAGATGCATGTGAGCAGGGGTGTGAGCGGTGCGGATGCACAGGTCCGTGTTTGTGTACGTGGAGACGTGGGGTGGGGTGTGTGTACTGGTGAGTCAGCGTGGGTGCGTGTGTGTGTGTGTGACACACATGACATCTTCAGGAAGCAGCAGCCAAGGCCACACCTGAGTGCCCAGCGGGACAGTCCGCTGCACTCAAGTCCATGGCGTACACTGGACCCCGTGCCTTGGAGCCGGGGGCCAGGCAGCCCCTCCACAGCCGCAGCTGGCTAGGATGCAGGTCTAATGAAGCCCGAGGCATCCTCCCCTCTCTTTAGAGGCCAGACAGCCCATGGGAACAGGGGCCACAGCAGTGACACAAAGATGATGCCACCTTGCGGTCTATCCTCCAGGGTCTTGCAGCTTGTGTGGGGCAAGGGGTCAGCTAAGAGCATCCCAGGGTCTGAGGGATGAAGGGAGGAGACAGGCAGAGGTAGGTTAGATGCCCAGGCAGGGAGAGCCCTCAAGGCTGTGTTGCTGAGCAGGCTCAGCAGATGCCCCTCAGGCAAGAAGCAGAGCAGAGCTGGGAGGAGACTTCTTGCCTCCCTCAAGCTCATCACACTGACTTTGGCACACTGGACGCTTCTCTGCACCAGGGTTCATGCCCACTGCTCCCTCCATTCAGAGCTATGGGTGTCCAGGAAGTCTCTGATTGTCACCGCTCTTTCCAAGGAGGGACCACAGATAGGTGGGCTGGACCCCACAGCCTGCCCCCGGGAGTTTCAGGCAGCAGCCTTAGGCCAGGAGAGGAACACCCCTATCTCCCTGAGGCTGAACTCCGTCTCCAGTAGCCCACTGCTGCCACAGTGTGGCCCAGACTTTGGTCCTGGAGCTAGACCTCCCTAAGGCCTCTCCTCAGGAGGGGGATTCATGGTCTTTTGGTTCAGAACTGGCCTCAAATCAAACAGGGCCTGAGGGAGACTTATTCTTCTTCCCAGCCACGGTGGAGGGGTCTGTGGGCCCCACCAGCTGGCTCCTGAAGTGACACAAGGAGTCCTTGGAGCATCTGCCCAGGCCCTCGCTCCCCGCCCCCAGGCCTGCAGCACCCTCTGCGGCTGTCTTGTGAGTGACACTAGGGAGCAGCTGGCGCTTCGGGGCAGTCATTGTCTTTGGGAACAACTCGTTTCCAGGCATTCCTTCACGCAACACCCAACCCCACAGGGCCCTGGCACGAGGGTGTGGCCCGCTCACCACCAGATTCCACCATGCCTGCGTCATGTCATGGCCTCTGAGCCAGAGGGGCTGCGTGACAAAGCCAAGATTGACTATAAAGCTGGCCATCGGCCCAGGACCATCACCCACCACATGCCCCCCTTCACTCGCTCAAGCGTGGGTCCTGGATGTCGCTGGTGTGCAGGCTCTCATGCTATTTACCGGGGCACAGGACCACCCTGCCTTCCAGGAGGCTCCCACCCTACATGCCAGTGGTTACCCCGTAAGTATTATGCCAGCTACCACATACATTCTCACCAATGCCTGCTCCGGCCTTGGCAGGGAGACACTGCTTGTCCCACTTCACTGATTAGGAAAATGAGGCTCAGAGACGTAAAGGAACCTGCCTGGGTCACTGGGTGGCCAGGTCAGAGGCAGGAATGAAGACAGTCTGCTGAACCCACAGCCAACCCTGCTGTCCTGACACCAGAATTCCCATCCTGAGGAATTCGTTCGTGTGGCACCCACAGCATGGAGCTGGTGTGTAGGGGAAGAACTAACTGCAGCCATTCTGCCTCTGCCTTGGCTTAGAAACAGCCTTGAGAACCAACACTGGGCCCCTCAGAGAAACCTGGAGTCCTGAAAACCACATGGCAGGACACAGGTGGCCCCTTCTAGCCAGGTACAGTAGCCCCTGACATCACTGCTGGTACAGAAGCTCTTGTGGCCCACTCCCATTGTACAGATGAGAAGACCAAGGTCAGGCACTGTGAGCTCAAGTCACTCTCGGGGTGTGGACAAAGTCAGCACTTAGGGTCTCTGCCCGAAGCCTACCTTCATTGTGAAGGTCGTGGTGCGGCTCTGCTCTGTCCCGCTGGATGGCTTCCCGGCGGTACACCACATGGGTCCTCCCGCCAGCCTCCTTCTGCTGCTGGCCCCGCTCCAGAGGCTCAATGAAGTAGTCAGTGCTGTCTGTGCGGATGAGGCCGGCCTGCAGGAAAGGAAAGAGGAGAGGTGGGAATGTACAGTGTGCGACAGGGCAGCATCTGTGACCGAAAACCTGTGTGACCATGTACATGTGTCTGTTCTTCCTCCTGGGCCAGGGGCTTTCAGACTCAGAGTCCTGGGATGCCAGTAAGCAGGGGAGGTGGGGAGAGGGGGAGGGGTGGAGCAGCTGAGCACCCAGCTCACCCCAATTCCAGAGAAGCACAGCCACATTTTCTGTGCCTCGTACTGGGGAGCTCCCTATAAAATTTCATTTGAACAAAGGGTTCTATTGGTGTAAATGGAGGGGAGGCACAAAAGCCACTGCCACAAGGGATGTGAACACACCCAGGCTCCGCATTCCGACCCAAAGCACGTCAGGTGGACTCGGCTTTACCTACCAGCAGACAGGAGGGGAAAATAAACCCTAGTGGCAAAGGTTAAACATCCCTGTGGTGGGTGCTGACCCCCACTCTCTAATACAAAGTGCTATTGTTTGAGATTTAAAGCATATGCGTGCACACCCCCGGGGACAACTAACTACTGACCAGAAAGAAGCCAGGACCTCGTGCTCTGTTCCCAATCTTTAATTTGTTTTGCCTGCATCAAAATACTCCCTTAAAAAAATCAGGTGTTGGCCTTGGAAATAAAAATATAACCTTGGCCAAGCCCAGCAAATGCGCTATTGGCCACTAATCAGAGATGTGTGCTGGCGCCTGTGTGCCTGCATTTGCGTACATGCACACCCACCCACACACGTCGACTCTGCAAAGTGGTGAGCAAGCCCCCCTACCATCAGCCATGGAAAACAGTAGGCAATATTTGATAAATAAAATATTTGTTGAATTCGTTCACTCATTCAACAAATATCTACTGAATGCCTAAACATACCAGGCCCTGGGAGTACAGCTGTGAACACAAATCAGTGAATGGAAAAACATTTTGCTAAATTGACCAGACTTTCTCCATTTCCATTTAACCAAGACAAGTTCTCACTACATAAGCCTTGAACTCGCTATGTTGCCCAAGCTGGCCTTGAACTTGCAGCTCAACCCTCCTGCCTCAGCCACCCAGGTGCATGTGCCACCAGACCCAGATGAACTCCCGTTCTAAAGCAGCCTCTTCATGCAACTCAATTCCACCCATTTCCCCAGCTTGGCCTGTTCTGACCACTGAACACTGACCAGCAACAGCCAGCCTTTTTATATCCCTTCACATTTGGTGATGAAACAGAAAATACTATTTCATATCAAAACCAAGATGGGTAACCTCAGTACCTAATCACAGACCCAGTTAGGAGGCTACAAAACGTCCTGAGGAAAATGGCAGCATTATTGGAATGAGTCTGTAGCTTCCCCAGAAACCATTCTGTCAGTCAATGGTCTGCAGAACTCCTTGAGGAGTTGTTAAAATGCCAGCATCCAACTTTATATGGAGCAGAGTCACTCATTCAGCCAGAGCACTCTGACTTTAGGCCTGCTATGGGCCCTGGGCAAGGAAAACAGCAAAGCAGGACTCAGCCTGTGGCTGTGAGTTGCTCACATCTAGAGGAGTCAAGGGTGATCAAATGCAGGGTGTGACCTGGAGTCTCAGGGGTTGTCATGAAGAAAAGGCGTGCGTCAGATTCCTGCTTGCAAGGGCTAGAAATTCAACCCGAACCCCCTGGCCCAAAGAGGAGTAAGCTGGCTCCAGGACAAATCTCAGCAGGGGCAGGGACAGAAGGAGGGACCCAAATGCCCTCAGCTGTCCCTGCATCAGCTTAATCCCACCTGACGAGACACGTGTCCCTATGCCTGCAGGGACATTTCCACCCAGCCACCAGAGACAATAAGGGGGCCTTTCCTCCGTAGTCCCGCACACAGTCTAAGGGAGAGCCAGGCTGGGTCCAGGCTGAGTCACACAGTCACCCTGGAATTGGCAGCTGCTACTGGACCCTCACAGCCAGAGGAAGGGGTGGCTGCACAGGAAGAAGGGAGAGATGCTAGGGTGAAAGGGTCAGGCCAGGTAGAGGGACCCCTTGGGCAAGGGTGTGGAGGCCGGAAAGAGAGTGTGGGGGCCTCAAGGGCAGAAGCTGAGCGTGGACAAGAAGTGATGGGCAGACCACTTGATAGAACCCCCCAAAGGGAAGCCTGCCGCGCAGGATACAGTGCAGAAGGTCCCCAAGACTACTGCAGCTCTGTGGCCGGGAGGGCTTGGGAGGAGACCCTCAAGCAAGCCCCTCGCCCATCCACTCTACTCTTTCCTGCACCCATCCGCTACCCAGAAGGCCATCCTGGAGCAAGCAAAGCAAGAGACCTCTCAGCCTGGTCCATCCAGCCAAGGTTATACAGCCAGGCTGGTGCAGGGTCGTGGCCTGTGCGGTCTGGGCCCCTCTCACCTCTCAAAGCAGCCTGCAGCAGGGAGTTCTCCAGACAGGAGGCAGAAGACTCTGCCAGCCTCTCCCACACACAGGCCCCCAGCCCTGGTCCTCCCCTATTCCGGGACTTAGTTAACCAGCTGCACAAAAAAGCATCCTTCAAACCCAGCACTCCCTGCCTCTCGGCTGACAACTCCACACGGCCTCTCAGGAAGGATGTGGGCTCCACAATGATGTGGATGGTGTAGGGCTGGCCCGTAAGCCACTGCCTTCCAGCCCACAGTCACGGAACACAAAGTTCTCAAGAGCTTTGCATACCTCCCGGTCTGACAACAAAACCAGCGAGAGCACCTCTAACTTTTGCTTAGATGCCTCCAGTGACAGAGAACTCCTTCCCTCACCTGCACAATGCAACATATTCTACGTAGGGCACCCCTAAAATTCACTGAGCAGAAATACACATTGCATCGTTCCATGCTATATAGACAGTCTTATAATCCCTGTTATTATAATAGTACCTGCCACATATATTGACAATATATTATCTTACAGTATTTCACCTCCATATTCCTACAACATAGACACTAATATGAGACCCATTTCATGGATGAGGAGGCAGAAGGTCAGAGAGGTTCGGTACCTTGCCCAAAGTCACCCAGAGAGGGTCAGCATCAGAACAGGGGCCCAGGGCTCTGTAGCTCTAAACCACCACACCCTATCTATCACCTTGGGTCACCAAGGGGCCCATTTCTGTTCTTGGGGACACTGGGAGTAAAGAAACATTCCTTTCCCGGTCCCATTTGCGAATCCCTGGGCCTCTGTCCGGTCTGCCCTGCATAGCGAGGATGCTCACATCCTACCTCTGCATGTGAGAACCCAGGAGACAGGCAGAACACGGCGACAAAGGGAACAACCCTCCTCTGCCCAGGTGACCTCCCACCCTAGGCCTAAAGGATCCTCGGCCCCACACAAACCCTCTTGATTACACCTTTGGCCCCACCAAATGGAATCCACAGGCCCCTGGGCCTGGTCAGCCTCACCCTCACCCCAGAAGAGTTAAAGAATCTGCCTTTTCCTTCCCCAGCCCTGTTAACTGTTTAGCATAAAAGAACTAGGCCCAGCAAACTGGGACAGAAGTTTCCAACTCCCTGTGACAGCCCATGCACACAATCCCAGGGACCAAAGGCAGAACCTCCAAAGAGACTGCCCTCACCCCATTTTGTGCATTATGTCAGGCCTTGTGCAGGTCCGGGCCCTTCACAGAGATGAGGGAAAGGCAAGCTTGGCCTTTGCACCTGGCTCCAGGTATGCTAAACTTCATCAAGATCTCCAAAGTGTGACCCACCTGGGCAACATGGGCCCAGTTCCTTCCCGGGACCTCAGGCTCCTCCTTTGCACAATGAGAGGTTTGGCCTGAGTTCCTCTGAATCTCTGCCCTGGCCAGGAAACCAGGCACTGTGCGGGGCAGACAGACTGGCAAGGAGAACCTTCTGGCTCCCTGCCTCCTCACTAAATTACTCCCGTCTCTCAATTTATGAGATGTTTATATTTCTGAAAAGTAGGGGCTAATTTTAAAACTCTAAAATCAAATCAAATTTCTGGATAAGACACCAAGAAAAAAGCAGAAAATAAATTCTGGTAGGCTGGAAAATAAATGTCAGCCCTATCTATTTCCTCCCATTCTGTATTCTTTCGCAAACAGTACACAAGTGGGAAATATATACTAGAAAGGCTCTTCGAGCAATAAAAACAAAACAGAATCACTGATTATATCCAATGGAGCCACACACCACATGGGCCCTTGGCCAATCCCTCCGCATGGAAACTCGCCAGCGGGCAGGCCCAGCCATCCCAGCCTTGCTGTAAACTCCCTTTCATGTGGCTGCTTTGGAGGTGCCCTTACTGGGAAGCGTGGGGCTGACTGGGGGTGTCGGTGAAGGACTGTTTGAATTTTCTAGTGTGGCTGGTGACACTGTTTGGGTGGCAAAGACAACTTCTGCTTCTTCATCCAAAGCCCTCCAGGCCATGCTCTCTGAAGTTTTCTGACCTAGGTTCCCCTGGTGGAAAGCTCCCGAGTTCAAAGTATAATTCTAGGGTACCTGAAGCAGACAGGTCACATAGCACCTGGAGAAGTGAGTGCCATCTTAGAAGTCACTTTGTGACCTGATATGCACCTAACTGAGCAAGTTTAGTCGATCAGCAGCAGCTGCACACTATCTGGGTGAGGTTCCAAATATTTAGTGGATAATTAAAGCCAAATTACTTTGAAAATTGTCTGTGCATGTATAAATGTGTTTATTCTCAACGTGCATGTTGGCACGTGTGTGAGGAGGCAAATCCAGCAGATAACCAAGTGCTTCCCACTGTCCTTGCACCTGGCTCCAGCTTTTATTAAACTTCACTGACACTGCCATTTGTGACCCACAGTTCACCTCTACCCCCCAAGTCCCAAGTTCCCTTTTCATCATCTTGGACCTTTTGGTCTACACGTACAATAATTCTCTTCCAAATACCCATCACTCACTCACCCCTGCTCCCCCAGCCTGATCTCCCAGAGAAGCTCCTCTTACCCTGGTCTGGCCCAACCGTCCAGCCACTCCATGGTTGCACACTGACAGAGACAAAACACACAATCACTTTGTTAATCAGCT